ACACACAGTAAGAGACACCCTGACTTATTCAAAGACACCGTGGGCGGTGCAGAGGATGAATAAGCATGATTCACTGCCACTCTGGCACCCGGGGCACGAAGAATAATAAAACCCAAAGAATTGTAGCCGCCTGAGTAGTAAATTAAGAGATCCGGGACTCAGCTAGACTCTAGACATCAATGTTACCATGGCAATAAAGGGCCCCAGCGTTCAGCAGCTATTACAGAGCAGCCATCTAATAGGCTAGTCTATGTCACAGCCAAAGCCCAAGGGGCTAGCAAAGAAGACCAATTAGCATATCCATTCATTAGGGGTCTCTGCACACTTCTTCTCTTAATTCCAATTAGTTGTTTGTTTGAAGCAGCGTCTCTTGCCTGCATTATACTCATTAGTGCATTTTAGCTGCTGGAAATAGGCTTGAATCTCTACAAGGACCTCATGATTTCCCAAGCCTTCATTTTTTCCCCTAGGGATCTAGGCTTATGCAGTCACAAAACCATGACCCTTAGTCCCTCGAAGCAAATGCATCCTTCACTGTACAACTGTACTCCACAGATGGAAACTCTACTCAGGAATGTGATGTGCTAAGGGTTCTTCCTGGAACCCAGTGAAGTAGGGATCTGGGGCTTTTACGTGGACCATTCAGGTCAAGGAAACCCTCTGGCATCAGCCAGTAAGCCTGCTGGCTAAGCCTGCTGGCCACTACTCAGAAGCTAGCTTTTCGGGAGGGGGGTGGACTTTGGGCACTGGGGACCAGATTGGCATCATCAAAGTTGGGCAGTAGTTATTCCAGCTTGAAGGACTGCCCTTGAAGGTCTAGCCCAAGCCCCGCCTATTCTGGGAAGTCTTCCCCAATCATCGCAGCCCCAAGTGAGTTCCTCCTCCTCCACACACATCAGAGAGGACATCTTATGCTGGGCAACATTTACAGGCAGCCTCAGGACCTGGCCCAGCCTGGAGTTTCCTTACCTATGACTTCAGAGTCCACAGGGTCACTAACACTGGAAAGGCCTGGGGGTCAAGAGGGCAGTCAATAATGCCTGCATGAATCCAACAAGAAGCAACTCTTTTATTAATTTATTTAACTTTTTCTTGTGGTTTGAGAGAAAGTCTACAGATCACATTAGTTTTCCATTCAACAATTTATACACATTTTGTTTGGTGGCATTGGTGGCAAATCCTTTAATGTAACAGCACTCCTTCCATTTCCTCCCTGGGATCCCCATTTCCATTCGTCCTTCTTTCTAGCCCCTTCCTGCCTTCTGTGCTTTGTTTTTGGGCAAATGCTGCCATTTTGAGCTCCTATGATTGATTGTACAAAGGAGTACATTCCTCCCTGGTGTTATTATTCGCTTTGTAGGACTGTCTGTTGTTTGGCTGAAAGTTGATCCCCAGGAGTGGGTTTGGTTCCAGGCCTGAAGGGTTTCTAAGGGCCACAGTCTTGGGGGTTCCACCAATCTTAATCAGACCAATAAACCTGGTCTTTTTATTATTTTGAATTTTTTTCTACATTTTTTTTCTTCTACTTTGTCCAGGACCTTCTATTGTGATTCTGATCAGAGCATTCAGTAGTGGTAGCCAGGCACCATCTAGTTCTGGTCTTAGGATAGTAGAGGCTGTGGTTCACATGGTTCATTAGTCCTTCGAACTAATTGAACAAACAACTCTTAAACTCCATTGCACATGGCTTCACAGCAGTGGCGTTACTAGGGTTGGTGTCATCCAGTGTAGGAACTCATGGCTGTCACCCGCCATGGACTTCCTCCATATCAGACCATACAGAATCGTTAGTAATGTTTATTATCAATTTTAATCATAGAATAATATGTGATAAATATAGCTGTAAATGGTTTAAATGGATTATTTCTTAGATTATATGAATACTAACAACAAAATTGTTTTGTAAAATTTTTCTACATAGAACTACAATGTTATTAGTTACATTATTATAACTGACCTAAAGCCCTTTTTTGATTTTTCTCTTTCTTTTCCTTTAATCGCTACTTCATTATCAAAAAAGTTATTGATACAGATTCACAAACACTAATTACCACAAAATTATAGCTAGGACACCAGAAAATTCGACAAAACCAGCAATTATAAAAACATGAGCAGCAATGAAAACAGCAATGTGGGCTTGGAGCATGTGCAGATGAAGCCACGCGATTTGAAGTATTTGTAATTAGGTAATAATGGCAGCTCTGACCAGCGCACACTAGAAAGTTCAAAAAGTAAGTTAGCATGGAGTTTTAGCTTAGAGTTTTAGTTCTATATTGATATGTGTAAGCTGGGGTTACAAAAAATGTTTTTGTTGTTATAACAAACTATGTTGTTGTTGTTGTTATTTGCCATCGAGTCGGCCCTGACTCATAGCGACCCCTCCTTGGGTTTCCGAGGCAGTATCACTATGGAAGTAGGATTG